ATCACTGTCCAAAGATCACATGTTTCTGAACATACAGTGATGACATTATTGTAGTGAAACATATTATTTTGGGGTTTTTATGGTCTTGCTGTCTGATTATGACCACCATGCCTGCATGGCAGTTAATCATTCTACCAGTCTTATTCCTTCTGCAAATGTTATTAGCAATGGTTTCATACTTGCCTATACATCCCTGACAAGCCTTTTGGAAAGGGGTCCTTTCAAAACCTCCCTAGAAGTGTCTTCCACTAATGAGGATTACACATTCACATCTAGATTTCAGATCTATCACTTAACTAGTTCTTGATCAGCTTAACTAGCATAACTCTTTAAAATAGACACTGTTACTCAAACTCTTGGATTTTGCTAACAATTATTATCACTGCAAAAAATTACAGAAAGCTTGAGGCAGTTTCTTTAGATTTTAGGGAAAATCCTTATAAATCCTTATTTACTTCTAAATAAAAGTAGTATTTTATAATATCATATAAAGGACGGTTTGATCTGCTCTATCATCTTACATAAATCATATAGTATTAAAGACGACACTATTTCACAGCTTACTGAAGAATGTAATTTAGCTTAGTTTCTTGTTTCTTTTATTCAGTCTTCCTTCTTCTTGTGCAATGCAGAAGCAATGAGAGCTCTGAGAGTTTTTTTAATCTTCAGTCGGTTACATCAAGTATTATGGCATATGTTGATGCATATAATTAATAATAACAAATTCCATAATATCTGTATCATTACCACAGAGCACTTTTTGAATAAAAAATTAGAACTCAGTTCAATATTTCTTATAACAAAGAAATTTAATATTATGTTATGTACAGCCACTTCCCCTTTCTAATCGCTCTATGATATTTGTGAAAGATTTATAGTTATTAAAGATAAAAGTGACAGTTGGAAAGGAAGAAAAATAAGTTGGCATAAAACAGAGATGAAGAAAAGATATCCATCTACTGAAAGGCCCAAACAGAAACTTAATTAATATTAATATTTTCCTTAGGCAGAATTTTTGAGGAGAGAAGGGAAATAAGATGGCATTTGGTAAGACACTTAAGCCTAAAAAAGGTCCTGATTTGATGAAATAAGTTATTTTTGATGTTTGTTTTTCCTCTGCCTTCTCTGCAGTGCTAGATGTCAGCTGATACTATGATTTAAATTGTTTGTCATATTTCTAAATGTATATCTACACTGTGGGTAGATTCAGTTTCAGATATGATAAAGAGGAAAGAGTTAAACCTTTGAGGAGCAGACATCTGTGAGCTTTGTCGCAACAGCAGCTGAGATTTAGTCCAACATCACTGAGACCTAAAGTTAAAATCAAGCCACAATATTTTAATTTAGACACGCATACAAAGATGAACATACAGAGAGTCTTAGGTTTGAGTTTGGACCCATTCTTAATATGAAGTATTGATGCTGAAACTGAAAGATTAAAATCCACAGGTTTCATACAAGAATAAAATGACTGGCCTGTAAGACACTTCATCTCTTTACAGTCTCATCAGCTCTCGTATGACAAACCAGATTACCAGTGCTTCTTACTCAGAGGAACAGTAGATGCTGAATGGAAAATTCACACTTTAATATCAGCCTTTTTTCTCTTTGTGTGACTAGCCTGGTGTTAGCGAGAGAGTTATTTATGTAACGTGAATCACAGGTTGCTTTTGCTTATTAAAGATCTGAATAATTTTTTATTTTTTTTCTGAGAGGTGGTCTCTTTCTGTAACCTTGGTTAACTTCTCTCTTGGGAGATTGCAGACAACCTGCCAAGGATTCCTTCCACAGTGTATTACCTGTCTTACTTGTGACAGCGTTTCCAGGGGTGGAAACCAGCCTAACCAGCAGCTCCAGAAGAACGCATCAGCGTATGGCCCCAGTACAACACCTGCACCAGCTGGTGTCAAAGAGGGAAGAGTGGGAGGTGTTAAAGGCTCTTTTGTCTCCCCAGTAAAGACACTCCTGTTGCAGTGCTTTACTGTTCCCTGCCATGTTTAACCTCTGAGCTGGCAGTGCTTTGTTCTTTTGTGAAATGATTTTCCGGCATATAACCCGCAGGACTCTAGAAATTCCCTAAAAAAACCCTGTCTGTTTAAACATATATGCCAGTAAATAAAGGCGTGAATTTCTTCATGCATATATGTTTGGGGTGCTGTATTAAGAAGCAGAGTTAACTGGATTATGAGTGTACATATCTGATATTTAGTTAATTATAAAGACATTGTATGAATTTATAGTAATGGGAAGGAGTGAATGGTCTTTTTGCAGTGCTTAATTCTAGGGTGTTTTCCTTCCTCATCAGTGTCAATAGCTAATTGTCTAATACTAATGAAAAAACGACACTATTAGACAATGTTCTTACTAGAGTTGTAGTATTTCAGATGCTAGAGGGCCCAGTAAATCATCAAAAGACCTGTGTAGTCAAATAAAACCCAGTCCACAAAACAGTTTTAGAATTGATAATCTACAGGCACTTTATGAAAAAAGTCAGATGAAAATGACAGATTAAATAAAATTTCTTTTTCCAAATCTCTCTGTGATTTAGGAATCCACCTCACCTTTTATGTATCTGCAGTCCTAGAAATTCCTAAGGGGCAGAATTTCCATGCAGAATTGCTCCTACCTTAGCAGGAGAGAAACACACATCCTTAACGAATTTCTGTGCCTAAAAACACTGGCACAATCTAGTAATTAACACTAGCTGGCATGGATGGTTCTCACCAGACACAACAGCCACAGCTAGTTTTCTTCCACAATATGGCAAGGGACAGAAGTGTTGGTATAATATATTAGAAAACTCATGCAGGAACGTGCCTCAGTTCCTTCTGCAGGATGAGAGACCCCATACTCATATTTTCTGTCAACCTGGAGAAGTTCTAACCAACCTGCTATAGGCTATTCTGAAAAAAAAAACCAACCAAAAAAACCCCAAAAACAACAAACAAAAGCATTCCTTATATGATCTGTTAAACTATGTAAAAAGAATTTAATATAGGGCTGTATTTAAGTATTCCCTGGTCCAGGCAGAGGATGAAAGATTGCCACATTTTTCCCTTTATGCGTATAAAAAATAGAAACAGTCCTTGCAGCCGTGACCCAAACGTGGTCCTCCTTTCTGCCTGCATCACCGAACTCAAGAACTTCCCTCCATCTGGCTCTGTCAAGGTCCCAGCTCTGTTTTCCAAAGCGACAGAGCTGCAATAGGAGGAATTTGGATGGACCTCTCTCTCCAGCCAACCCCAAAACAGCCTGCTGATGAACAGCTTTGGCCTAGACCCATTCATGCTGAGAAAGGCCTTTTATCTAGGTTTCCTACACCTTTGGCAAATGTTTCAGGAACTGAGCTATTGTACACAAAGGCCAAGTCCCTGCCTCCTCCCACTCTGGCCGCCTTTTAAAAGGAGATTTATGTGTATGGTCTTCCTGTTCTGCAGTTCAGTCTCAGTAATTTCTTATCCACAGTGTTCTAAATTTTTAGCTTGAAATTATAAAAATTGCGAATGTGGACTTTTCTGTGGGATGTTTGTCAGCCTATGGGATTCCCTTCAAAACTAGGTGAAGTGATTAATTCACCACAGGAAGAACTGAAAAAGTAGCGTAACTTCTAAAACACAATCACTTATTTCCCCTCATCAGAAATTTAGCCGAAGGAAACAAGAAATATTAATTAAGTTTCTGACTGTGTCTTTCAGTAATTTGATATTTCTTCAGCTCCACTTTATGCCAATTTGCTTTTCTTTCTTTCCAATCACTAAGGGTGTATTTAATAATCTTAAACATAAAACATTCACACGTATGAGGTAATTATGAAAAATCTGCGTATTTTCTTTTGCTCTGGATTAAGGTGGTTTGGAAAAAGATTTCTTATCAATTGCCACTGAATTCATCTAGAATTATTATTATTAATAGTTGAGTGTTGGAGTCTGCTCAATATCCCCAGGCAAGATTTCTACTGATTTCAATTCATTTTGGCAGAATCAAGTCCCTTAATCTTTCACTTGTAGCAAATGAGAAGCTGCATGTGTATATTTTTCATTCATTTTCATTTAATATTAACTTGCAAGTCCTAGATACCATTGCAGTGAGATGGTTTTAAGAAGGGGACTTGAGCTCTAGAGTGTGAGGAAAATCTTGAATGCCGTTATTATCATTCGATACCACTGAAGAGTAGGTAAGCCCTTACAAAACTCAGTCTCCTATTCACACCACAGCAAGGCTACCCACATTAGCCATGAATCTAACCTTAATCTACTAATACAACCAACCTGACAAAGCACCTAGTCTAAACTGTAGATGTGATTAAACTACAGAGTTATCAGAGGGAATCTCAGGAGACCACGTAGTCCTCCTCTGCCAAAGGCAGACACCATTAGCCCTCTGTCCTTACTGGCAGTTGTTGAATTATCTTCTTCTAGCTGAAACATTTCCAGTCATAAAAAATCCACAGTTTACTTTTGAAATAGGTATGATGGGAATAATAAGGGAAGAATAGAAAGGGTAAGGATGATATAGTCAGATTGTAACACAGTTCATGTTTAACAGTCATAATGATTTGACTAACAAGAAAAAAAGGAAGACAAGGAGTCATTTAAGTGCTCTTTGTGGCTTCTTGTGCCAATAGAGACGCCCTGCCTGGCCCTTGCACCGCTCCAGAGGGACATACATCTTATGTCACGTCTGTTAGTCCTGCACGGGTGCTTCATGTACCCAGGGGTCTTAGTGATGCACCATGAGCTTTCGTGTAGACAATTGAACTGAAGCCCAGCCAACTGCTTTAGCTGTGAGCTGAATCAGTCCCTAGGCTTCACTGACTGCATTGCCTGGCTCTCCTTTGACTGTAGTGGCAGCCTTGACTGCTGGCTGACATATGGACACCTATATATAGTCATCTCCATTTGGATATCTCACTCTGTAGATGACTTCCTGAGCTTTGGCAAATGAGTGAAGAGATGACGTGTCTTGACAAGAAAAAGCATACATTCGTGTACAGCCGAATGGATTTCCTGTGTCACACACGTGCACTCACGTACTTCAAACCCTCATTAACAGGTCTTGTTATGCATTAACATTCTTCTTTCTTATTCTTATTAAAAAAATCACATCTTTTTGGAGCGGTCAGCCTTGTTCTGATTTTCAGCAAATGAGTAGACACGCAGCCAGGTGACAGAGGCCTCATCTGTCATTAATGGAATCAGCACTTCAACCAGTTTAAGTGAGTCATTAAGAACCAAACAGCTGAGATTTTTTTCTGTTGCAGACTATGTTCTCTAACTGTGCTGAATTAGATGCTCACTTACTAGGGGATTCCTACATCTTCAGATAGGCAGGTACTACAGGTACAAGACTGCATTATAAATGTTGCATTTAAAAATTTAATTATAATACTAAAATATGATACTACTTGAGACTTGTCTGTCTTTCTTTCCTGGAAATTGACTGGTTTTCCTTCCCCCCCCACTATATTATACTATGAGGTTATCAGTTGTAATGTATTTGTAGTAGGTCTGAATGGACGTAAAGTGCTGCTTTTTTGCTTTACTCCACCTCAGTCAAACCAATGTGACGTTATAAATGCTCCTTTTACTTTGTAGATGTAAAAGAAAATGGCAATTAGAATATGAATCAATTGAATGGCACAATTAGAAAATCCAAAGAATTTTAGAATCTGTGTTTTATAATGTCTTTATCTCTTTGCATTTTGTCTAACCAAGGAACACAGAGAGAAGCTTAGGGAAGCCCATTAACAATTTAACATGCACCGATTTATGCCATTGAGTCCTCACTACTTGTTGATTAATGTTTCCTAGTTTCACTCTACAGGAAAAAAAATAGGTAGAAAGTGTGGTAAAATTGAACCTCTTAATCTTTCCCTTGAGGAGGAAACATGTAAAAAATGAATATTTTGGTGGATTTTAGGATGTACAATTTCCATTGCAACCATACGAAAAGTACCCAGTGTTTGCTTGTGTGGGTCTGTAGAGGGGTTGAAGAGAAGGGGACAAGGAAAGAGGAGAGTTACGTATGAATGTTGACATTTTAGAAGCCTGACTTGAATCTTGAATTTCCTTGTGAATCTTGGGCAGCTAGGCATTGCACTCTGCATGCCAGCAGTGGTATTAGCTGGAGACTTAGCCAAAGCTTCAAACACAGTCAGCTCCTGCTGATGGTTTAAGGAGATTTCAGGATGAATCAGCTTACTTTGGCCCTGTGCCCAGGGCAGATTTTACCCTTGCTGGCATGCTTAAAGCTTCAGCTGACTTCTGCAAAAGCTTCGGGTACAAGTGTGTAGGTTCCCTTTGCCACTCTAGGATTTGTAAAAACTTGTCTGAGGTTGACTACAAAGCTTCATTCCTCCTAGGCAAAATCTTGAATAATACCCTGGAGTCCCAGTCATTTGGCCAGTACTCAATTCCTGAGGCACAGTCAGCATTCACATTTGCTCCTACGTCCTACTTAAGGTTCTCTCTTCCCCAGTGGGTTTAGTGTGTCCCCACTTCTTTGATTAGTGCAGCCTCCACCACAGGTTGCTAGAGAGAAAGAGAAGAGAAAAATGGAAATAAATACCACAGGGCAAATTTTGCTATCATCTAATGAACCACTTTTACAAATCCTTATCCCACTACCCAGTAATGACCGGTCTTCATTTTAATGTTCTGTCATCACAGCTTTACTGATTGAGTGGTAATACTGCACTTATTATTTCAATGATTCTCCATCATAAAAACACCTCCCTGACTCAACTTGTAACACTGTCTGCCCCTAGGCACTTGCAGCTCTGTTCTCAAATTATTGTGGTCTCTGTTCCTGTGCACTGATTGTCTCCTGTGAGTACCAAGCCAGCGGAATACATTGGGCAAATTTACAACTAATCTTGGGCTCACTTGTTTTGCTTGCCTAGGAGCTGCAAAAGTTTTGGCAACTCAGGTATTTCTGCTCACTAGAAAAGGATCTTCCAAAGTAATGATCCAATCACTCAGTAATATGTTGTTTCAGTCTATAAAGATACTGTTAATACGTATTCAAGCAAAGAAATTCAGTATTTGCTCCTAGGGTAAAGAATGTCTTTAGCCGGATGCCAAATAAATGTCATTTCTCCACAGTACAAGCCTAATGCAAGACATCTTCTTTGATATCTTTGGCTTGCAGATACTTGGTCAGCTCCTGTAGTTGTTGGGAATGCTTCGGTGTGACAGTGGAAACTAGGTGGGAAGTGTTTATCTGTGGCAGGAAAGAGGTTTTTCATTTATTTCCAGTGTACAAAAGGGGCAGAAAGGATGCCCTGGAGAAATATAGTCTAAAATGGGTTATTCATTATCTCAGCTGGCATTTCTGAATCCTTGGCCTAGCTTCCAGCCTAACACTGACAAAGCCTTTCTCACCATCAGCAAGGTCATATCTGACTAGCATAACACCAAAATCACTATATCCTTTTAAACTGAAAACGTAAAGGTACTTTATTTCAGAAGTGAAATAAATCAATATTGTACTAATCACAAGCAGGAAACTTCCAGCAACAAATTGTTAATGTTTTTTCCAGTGCTTTTTTCAACTGCTTTCACATTGATTTTAAAATTATGAAAACATAACTGCAAATCTTTGCTTTCTCTTTGATACATTTACGTATAGGAACATCATTGTCTCAGAATAAAGATCCTGGGAGACTGTTACTACTGCGTGTCAGGGCTCCCAGAACCTCGTCAGGACCACGCACACTGCTGTGTTGAAATGGGGCTCAGCATGATCAAAACTATCAGGTAATGATTTCTTCTTCTTCTTCTTCTTCTTCTTCTTCTTCTTCTTCTTCTTCTTCTTCTTCTTCTTCTTCTTCTTCCTCTTCTTCTTTCATTGTTTTCTGACAGTATCCTGAACTTCTTATCTGAGAATGCTATTACTAGACAAGTAATTCCTGTGGTCGTTCAGGAACCTCAGGATTATCACTGTGAAAAGGGCAGGGCTTTTTCGATCTATGTAATGCCTGGCAATAGATACTAAAAGCATTTTATTAACCTGTGCCGTTTCAGAGCCTGTAACGTGATAGCTGTGTGTGCCTCACGAGTGACAGGTTTCACAGATCTTAACAGCTCTCACTTTGCACTGTCATTTTTAAGAGGAGGCTGATGAGGAGGAGACTGAATTGCTTCCAATAATCTCTTTAATAAAATAAAACAGCAATATAAACACTGAATAGCTATGGCAGTACTTCAGCTTGGAAACTAACACATAGACAAACTCATAAGCACTAAGATTTGGCAGATGAGCAAATTTTACGTATTAAATTAGGTCGGTGCTTAAATCCACAAGGGTTTGAAGTGTTTTAATTAAGGGATGTGTACCCATCATGTAAATATGGTTGTGTTGCTGATGGATTATTGTGTTTTGATGAGGATTAATAATAACAATGTTTCAACGGTCCATGTATAAAGCTTGTCCAATGATTTACCGTCACAGTGGCCAACATTTATTGACCCGAGAGGTTTTCTCCGTCTTTTTTATCCTCTCTATCAATGTTGCTGAGTTCCCTTTCTCCCAACCCTTCTTCTGTTGCTTTCTTCCCTAAACCAGTGTTGCCTAACCTGAGCACTCTCCTCTTTCCATGGATGTTTTGCTGTCCAATCTCTTTGTCTGCTTCTTTTCCAGACTGCTTTCCTCCTTTAATCTGAGTTTGTCTCATTACATACATCCGACAGTTAATGTGTACTGCAGCTACATTACTGAGATCTTAACAGAGAAAGAATTTGACAAAAATTAATTAATGGAAAATGTAACTGAATAATGATTATGCAACAATGATCTCTAAGAAGATTGGATTCAATTATCACAGACTAAATGTTGCACAAAGTAATCAATATTTTGCTTCTGGAATCCCCACAGTGCAAGTGAAACATGAATTAGAGAACATACACAGATGAAAAAAGCTACCAATGTTGTTAAAAATTCCTGGACACATACATCAAATCATTTGCATTTGCTTGGTAATACCATCTGCAGCAAACCCATTGTAAGTCATTCTTCTTCTAAGACAGTAAATTTCTCTCAATCTCCTTATACATGCGGAAGACTGTAACACCCTGGTGTCCTTTTATGAACCAGGTCTCAAAGGCAGTAATGCAGTAGAAATGGCTCTGTAGTTTTAGTACTTTAAATGACACAGTTATATTCAGTGGGAGCTGAGAAAACAAAGTCCATTAGGACTTTGGTCATCCTAGGCTAGTTCAGTTCAGATTGCTTCCAATTTATTTAATAATCTCAGTATCTGAATTTCTGACCACTCAATGAGCATGTTTTTTTTCCCCAGGTTTTTCTGTTCAGAGTCTTATGTTACTTATCTTAATGTGTGCTCATGTAGTTCACAGGGAGGACCAATCCTTCCATGGGATATTACAAATACTTCAGTCCACATTTCTGACAGAATTTGTAATTATCTACAGTTAATTAATCAGAACTAAAATTAGTAGATAACTCTCACATTTAAAATGAAAAAAAAAAAAAAAAAAACAACAAAACCACCTTCTTTAGAAAACTGGGTTTCTACTGTACTGGTCACTGCAGAATTTGATTAGATCTAAAAACTGCTAGAAATGACATTTTGATGATTATAAAATTTTTGAGCTTCATCTGAAGATTTCACAAAATACATGTTTTGTATGTCCAAAATAACAGGGAGATGATCCAAGATATGAGAAACCATCATTCAGACTTCACAGTTACATTGAAGTTATGTAAATGAACTCAAAACCTTCTTGCAAATCAAAGGATGTTTTCTGGAGATTTCCAAAAATTTCACTACTCATAAAGCCTACATGAACAGTTGTTTCTTCTCCCTCTTGCAGAGGTACATCTTAGCTTTTAAATCTTAGCTATATTTTAGCTCAAGCACTTAGCCTGGCTCAAGAATTAGATATTAAATAATAAAAAAGTATTATTTATGCTACAATATCCCACCTATAATTGGGATTTAGGCACCTAGATTGTGGACAACAATCCAGGTACTTTTAGAACTCCTGTATCGGTTTAAATTATATATGCAATTTAAATTAGGCAGACCAGATTTTCCCCTGCAGGTCCTCTAAGGTTCCTGCTCTCCATTGACAATGGGTAGTAGGTAACATTTCAAGGATCAGTACCAACACTTCTGGTGAGGCAATGCCCCAAAATCTATTACCTCAGGGTACCATTACTGAATTTTCCTTCTAGTCTTCTTGATGACTGCATGGTCAGCAGGACTTGAACAAGAATTTCAAATCTATTCATTGCACAACATTCATGCATAAAATAAATCTACATGGACAGATTGGCTCACAAGGGGCTTCTGGGTATTTTACTATAGCTCATATACATACAGCTAAAGCATTAAATTATTGTTAATTGAGACTCCACAATTTGATCTTAAGCTCATATTAGACTTGAGTCTTGCTACTCCACTTCTCTCTTTGCAGATGTAAGGAACTGTTCAGAGCGCAACAAAACAAACCAAGGTCATTATTTTCTCTGTAACGATTTTTTGCATCACTGTGTCTTGTTACAAATATTATAAAAGAAAATCTATTATTGTTATTCCGCTCTGTCTTCTTGTACTTTGCTCCCTAACCATTGAGTACAATTGAAATACAACTTTCAGCCATGGGAAGGTTTCATGACATCTGATATTTACTCTAAAGCAAGGAAGCTTTGCCCCATCACATTTGTGCATGAGCAAAAATCCTAGCTCCGGCTATCTTGCAAAACCCAACCTCTTGTAAACTCTCTTTAGCTGCAGTTGGAAATACAAATTAAAATAAAAAACACAAGCTCTTCACAAGGGTTCATTTATTTTGCTGCTTCTCATATCTTTTCACACGCAGCGTAACTCTTCCTGTATTTAATTTTATTGTATTAACGCCTGTCTGTACTGACAGTTGATAGAAATGAGATACTAGTGGAATGTTTAGTCATCGGATGATAATGTTTCATTTTAACAGTTATCACTCCAGCTAAATGGGTGTCAGAGATAACACTCAGGGAAACTAAATCTGCAACTGCTCTTACCTATAAAAAAGAGCAGCCATCTTATCTTTGTCTTTATCTTTATGTCCATATGGGGAGGGAAAGATTTGTAGGAAGAAAGCAGCCAATGGTGTTTTCATTGTGTGTTAGTGAAATTCCAAAGCTGTGTTGGAGTGCCAGATGGATGGGATGTGTGATAAAAGTCGGGATGGAGATATCTATTTGCTGACAGTCAAATACGGAACATGAGCTAACAATAAAATGAGATAGTTTTGATGAGACAATTGCTTCCTTAAATATATTAAAATGGATGTAAAAGAACTAAGAGAAAGATACACAAAATAATAAAAGTATTTCTGAACTGTGATAGTTTCTAAATATCACATTATGCTCCAGAAAGAGGTTAGTATGCTTGTTCATTGGAGTTTTCCATTCTTTAGGTTGGGCTGTGAGGAGAGGAATAGCTGCATAAAGTGTAATGAGGAAAGTTCAGAGGGAAAGTGAGGTAAAGGAGAAAGGAGAGGAACCATGAAAGAAAGTGGAAGCAGAGGAAGGACTGTGAAGAGAGATGAAGGAAATAAATAATCATAAAGAAGAGGAGAGAGTACTTCCAAAGTAGAAATAATAGAGTACAGTCTGTCAATGTCAAGACCGAGATGAGAATAATGAATCTTGATGTGGTGGTCTCATTGAAAAAACTTGTTAAATATTTTTATAAGGGTGCATGAAAAAGTCACAAAAATAATTTTTTAAGCAGAAGAGCCTTTAAAATAAGAGAATCTAGAAGCTTGATCTGTTTAGCTGAGCAAAAAAAAAAAGGGGGGGGATTGAGAAGTTATTAGGTAGCAGCACATAAAAATTTTATGGTAGAAAACACTAGCTTTAAAAATGGGCGATGGTATTACTAAGAGAAGTGATGGCTTTTCTGTCCCTTGGTGTTTTCAAATCAAAACTGAATTTCTTCCTAGAGTAAATACTTCCTTCAGGCACAAGTTACTGGAATACAAACAAGCACGAGCGGGTAAAACGTACCAGCAGGTGTGGCACAGGGTATCAAGGTGGACAACGTAACTGTCCCTTCTGCTCCTCAGCTTGGGACACAGAGCAACGTTACGTGACAGGAGCTGCCTCCGGGGCTAAAGGTTGCTGCTTTCACCACCTCCTTCTCAAATGTTCTTATTCCTAAAATCCCTCTGACTGGGAAGAGAGGGGAGGGAGACTGTGTGAGGCCCAGCTCCTCAAGGACTCACTCACATGGTATGATGATGGAAATCCAACAACTATCCAGATAATGATGGAAATTCAAACAAAACTTTATGCTGGTATATTTGTTTGGTAAGTCAAGGAGTTCTGAGTGATTTCATCTCTTGTGATTTCATCTCTTGGATCATTTCCCACTAAAATACCATCTGAAAGAGTAATTATTATGACAGAAAAAATAGTCCCAGCATACAATGTAAGATAAACTCCAGAAATTAGATAACAGCTTGTCTTCATTAAAAGTCTGTAATTAACTACTAATATTAACATCAGTTCATGAGAGAGGAAAAAAAAAGAAAACCAAACCAAAAAAAAACCCCAAACAAAACCCAAACCAAACCAAAAAAAACCCCAAAGCACAACTATTTTAGATGATCTCAGAGACTGACCTGGCAGGTATCCTGCCTTTTGCAGGCAAAAAATGCTTTTAATTTCATCTGTCAGATATTAAAAAAAATCATGAAGTGATCAATGCTGGTTAAAGAATTTACTTAGGCAGTGAAACAGCCAG